CCTTATAAGGAAAGTTTTTCAGCCTTGATAAAAAGGCCTTATTTCGACCAGAATTACAATTCATGCTTTCAGAGAAAATTTTATTAAATCCATATTAAATATATATTAAATCCATACGAAAATTTTAAATATAACAATAAGAATTACATATTTATGTTTTAAAATTTTTGCTTAGAAATTACATATTAAGTTATTGAAAAGTACATAAACAATACAAAATTATTAAAATTATGCAAAAATAAAACTAAATATTATTAAATTACGCGTCATAAATTATATGTGTAATATAAGTAAAATATAAATAATATAAATCAAATTATATGTATAATATAAAAAAAATAAAATATATTTGTTATAAATAAAAATAAAATATATATTGTATAATTATACGCGCAGCATAATCAATATCAGTATTGTTTAATAAATGTATGTGTTGAAGTAAATGTTAAATGACGTTAAAATTATGAATAATAATGTTTTTAGCTGAGACTTACAAGGGAACGGTCGGAAGTGTCCTTACCCGATTTGGATGCGCTTTGGATATGTTGTTGAGCATAAAAAAAATAGTAGACTCGTATTTTTTTGCGGCGTATCTCGACGTTTAGGGGTTGAAACAACCCCTAAAAAATAACAACCGATTTGGATGCGCTTTGGCTATGTTGTCGAGCATAAAAAAACATTAGACACGGGGTTTTTTTGCTGCTTATCTCGACGTTTAGGGGTTGAAACAACCCCTTGAAAATAACGAATTTTATAGTTTTTAACGAATATCTTCGAAAATATAAGGCGTAATGACAAAACATTTGTACGAAATGTTCATTACTTTTTGTGCTCTTTACAATAGCGTAATCAGATTTTTCAAATTTGTCACATTTTTTAATTTAACCCCACCCCCACATATTATTTTTGCCAAATATAACAATTTTTCCAACGCAAATTTAAGAGCGTCAAATGCCAAATATATCCATGTGTATTTCTATTATAATACCATTATTAGATTTTTGGCAAGACGAGATGATATGTGATATAGGCGTCGGACTGTAGGTAGGTGTTGCGTTATTTCTGTTCAGTTGCGCCGTATGCTTAATAATTTCCATTTGTGCATATTTTCTCATACAATATATACTATATACTACAACATAATAGGATTCCCCCGTTACCCTCGGCGGGGAAGCAGGTGGAAAGTTCGGAAAGGTGGAAATAGGGTCGAAAACAGAGCTGTGTGGAAGGGCGGAGGTGCAGGATTGAAGGAGGGTGCGAAGGAAGTTGAAAAGAGGCGGTGAGATTGGAAGTTGTGACGTCCTGGATGATGCGAGGTGGCTCGATCCGGCAGAATGTCTCCGTTGATGGGTTCTTCTTCTTGCAGTTAAGGAGGTAAAACCCCAGGATAATTAGCTGTTGGTCGGCAATGTAGATTATGGCTTCTTGGATCCGTCGAAGGTAGGTATTCAATAATCTTTATCTTTCTTTTGATATAAAAGAATATGGTATTTATTGTAGAACTTTTACGATACAAGTGGCTTATATGGGAGGATGGAACAAGTATAAGATATGTGACCTTTCCTGGCTCGTTCCACACTCTCCGTCGAGAGGGTGAAAGATTCCGCTTTTATACAATTTTGGAAACGGTAGTGGGAGGTAACCGCACCTCGTTACAATGAGTCATAAGGCGTTGTCTAGCGGATGTGAGTCTACTTCTAGTGGTGTGGCTAGCTTGCCAGCAATGAGTCATAGGGTGGTGTCTTGAAATTCATTACTTTATATGGTCATGCGTTGCACTCTGCTTCGACATGTCCATATATAGTCTATGCGAGGACTAGTTTCACTCGAATGAGTCATACAGGTGACTCATCTGAATTCCATTTCTATTCTCTGTTTTAACAGCGATTTGTATTGAGAGCGATATCTTCTTTCATTATAAAATCTCAATATGACTTTTATCATAAAGAAATATAAGAAATCTTTAATATTTTAATTTTAAAATGTGCAAATATACGTTGAATATTATTTAAGTTTTTTTAGACATGCTTTACATACAGTAGAATAGTTTAATAGTACAATTAAAGTCATTATTAGCATGTCTAAAGTATAAAAGATATTGCTCTCTTCGTCTAACAGTTACTATGACATATCTGACTCTCTCTTTCTCTTCTTCAGATTGTATAATACTCGCATCTCACTCGGATTCGCGTTCCCTATGCTACGCATATACATGTCCGTTAAGTTAGCACCCCCCCCCACAAAAAAACGGAATAACACATATGTAGAAATTAAGTGCTCTTTATGTGCTAATTATGTGCTCTATTCGCGATTTTTGTGCTCGAGCAGTTTTGCGGGAAATCGCAATTGAAAGTGGGGGTGCTGGCTTAACGTAAGCTAGCACCCCCCTCATTAAAATTACATATAAAATAAAAAACTCAATATGCTAGAATTATGTGCTCTTTATGTGCTTTTAAATGCCTTAAACAAAATTAGTCTATCTATAATAGTTTAAAAAATATACGCACAAAAAGATCTACATACTACTAATATAAGGTTAAAGTATCAGTTAAAATACAGAAAGCGAAATAATTATTGTCTTAAAATGTTTTTCGATTAATGTGTTCTCGAAATATGCACAATGAGATTTCCGTGCTCATCCCCTTGAGCCAACCAGAACGTTAGCACCCCATACGTACAAGAGTAAAGTACCAGTTAAAATCTAGATAGCGAATTGGTTCTAGTCTTAAAATGTTCCTTAATTTATGTGCTTTCAAAATATCCACAATGAGATTTCCGTGCTCATCCCCTTCAGCCGGCCAGAACGTTAGCACCCCATACGTACAAGGGTAAAGTACCAGTTAAAATATAGATAGCGAATTGGTTCTAGTCTTAAAATGTTCCTTAATTTATGTACTTTCAAAATATGCACAATGAGATTTCCGTGCTCATCCCCTTCAGCCGGCCAGAACGTTAGCACCCCATACGTACAAGAGTAAAGTACCAGTTAAAATATAGATAGCGAATTGGTTCTAGTCTTAAAATGTTCCTTAATTTATGTGCTTTCAAAATGTGCACAATGAGATTTCCGTGCTCATCCCCTTCAGCTGGTCAGAACGTTAGCACCCCATACGTACAAGAGTAAAGTACCAGTTAAAATATAGATAGC